CAGTGATAACCCTCAGCATCAAGGCCATTGGGATAGTAAAACTTTTTTTTTAAATATGTGTTGCAGTTTACTTAAAAGCTAAGGTACGACAGTAATATGTAATACATTTTAATATAATAATAATAATATTGCTTAAATTAAATTGAGAAGTCACGCTTGCTAGAGAAATATAATGTTGGATAATTGTAAGTTTGGTCTGAGGCTTTCAAATATATCTTTAGGTAATTCATTACAGATCCTTGCGTCGCTGTATGTATTACACTCAGTGATAATGTGTTTTATAGATTGATTTTGTAATTATTTATTTACCGTTATAAAACTTATTAACTACTTTTAAAATAAGACAATATTACATTCCTTTCAAGTTTCAACTTTAAATTATTTTGTGGAGTTTTGGAACACATTTTAAGCTCATTGCCTTCGTAGAATTTTTTGTTTTTTAAATTTGATGCTCATATCATATATGTATTTATTATTAAAATCATTTAGTTATATTTATACATTTACTTAATCACTATTTTCAAAATTCCTTTTATGTTATGTTTGAATTATATCGTGTAATACTTATATTGTAAAGATGTTGAATCTTGAATCGGGTCTATCATCACAAAGTTTACCATAGTGAAGCAGAAAAAATGTTAATCTATCTACTGTTGACTAAATTACTGCTAATAAATCAATATTATTATATGCGTGTTTTTTTTTAGATGCAATTCATATAATAATATAAGTAAGGTCATTAATTTATATTACTTCATAATCAAAATTTTATCACAACATTAGATATTTATTTTGAGACACATAAAATGAAATAACTATGTTATGAAAATGTAACATTTTCTTTCAGAAAACGGAATGCGGAAAAGGGAAAGAAATGAGAAGTTATCATAATATATATGAGTCTGTAGTTGTATGTCACTGCAATCATTATAATACGACGTAACATTTTCAAAATATTATCCGCTGAATTGAATATTATGCGTAATTTTCTGTATGCCTCATCAAAAATCATGTTCAGTTCACATTGTTTAAATCACTTAAATCTAAAATGACCCTATTTAAATATATGATTAGCAGACAATATAGTGGTTCACGTTGTCTTTTAGACCTTATAATTATGGTATGCACAAACATGGAAGTCTTATCGTGGCATGTATAATATTATGCACATGATAATAACCTCATATATTATTCTTCTATTTTACTTTAAGTATATTTTTCTATCCTTAAATAAATGTACGAGGAAAAGTATAAAAGTATGTTATTTGACGTTTAGTTTGCCCGCTAAGAGAAAAATAATCTCTGTCAACGACGACAAATATGGTTTTGGTTTTTAACAACGTTTGCGATATTATCGAACACGCTTTGAAATAAATGAAAAAAGTCTATTTCGTTTTCAAAATAATTGGTCTGCTTTCCCCAGACAACGAGTTGCCTGTTAAAATCGAATCTCATAGCGTCGTTGCAATCAATACCACTGCTAATAGGAATTACAATACCAAAATACATTCTGGATAAGGATAACAATAATATTAATAGACATGTAAAATCGAATTTCAAACCAGTACTTGGTTAATTTCTTATAACTATAATTAACTACTAATCCAAAATTAAATTTTTATTATTTTAAACTGTCAAAAATATACTGTCTCGATAAATTAATTTATAAATACAAGTTGCCATTCGTTTCAATACAAATAAAAATTGTATAAATACAACACTTTTAAAAACGTTTGTTCTTTACGAGATAATGAGTAGGCATTTATTTTTAAAAGGCTCATCCTGTATAGGCACTCTACAAAGGATCGTTATAATATTTCTTTTTCTTTTTTCCACATCGCTGACGCGATTTTGTTTCTGTGATATCATTTCCATTTTTGCTACAACTTCATTAAAGTATCCTCGAACCGGAAATATTTTTAACACATCTTCTCTGACGATATTTATACACCCTATTTTATTCCTGATGTGTTTATAATATTTATGTAGATATGTATGTATGCATGTACCTACGTATGTAGGTCGTAGTGGTAAACAATTTTTGGGGGAAGGTACATATAAAATAAAATAATATATTTTCATAATTATAGGTAGGTAGCTAAAAAAAACTAAATATGTAATACGTATTAAACTATTTAAATTACATACATTATATATTTAAAAGTCTTGCCGACTGCCACTACTTATAGGCAGATGGTCAGATATCAAATATATTATTATTATAATGTCATTAATAATAGATATTCCATATATATATATATATATATATATATATATATAGGTAGGTACCGTTAATTTCTATATTTATCTTTTATCTGTGATAAATTAGAATAAAAAAAAATATATGATGTCAAATCAATAATATTGTATAATATCATTAGATTAATTATTATAACGTTGTCAATACCTGTCCTAATACATTGATATTGTTTGATATGTCGGTGAAATTTGTTTTATATGTGTGTCACGTGCAGGCCGAGCAGATGATTTGACCGAGCCAAAATATTGAAAAAATAATGTTTATATATTTTATTAATGCACAGCAGGAAACCCAGTTAGAATTTTAATAGCAAAATAAGAACCAATCACCACTGGTTATAAATAATAAAACAAAATTTTATACCTGTCTTATTAAAGACTTATTACTAATTAGTGATTGATTTTACAATATAGCATTATATAAATTATAATAAATCTGCATGTAATAATATGTACAGTTTGCGCTTGTGTAAACTGTTTAAGTACCTATATACTGGCTAGTGGCTATACTTGCAAGTCGTAGCACAATAAATGCATAAAAAAAATTAATGAATATAAATACAAAAGTTAAAAGTATCGACATTAAAAGTTAAAGAGCTTAAGATTGTCTGCAAATGGACTTTCGTACTTGATTGCATATACCTAATATAATTATTCCACATATGCATTTGTTATAGTTATTAAACAGTAATGGTGTCATTATAATATTTGTTATACGTCCGAGAATGTTAAACAAAATATTAAAAAATGAAAACTGATTGAAAAAGATATTGTGTCGACCCATACGGATATAATTACAGTTAAAATATTTTATGAAAAATTATAATATCTACACATTGTAGAGTGGCCACCCGAATTTTTATTTTTGATGGAAGTATGAGGCATAAATCCATTGACGTTATAACTGAATTAGAATAATAAATGATTTAAGCAAACACATATTTTGAGCACAATCAAACTTTATTGAACAATTTTCAAGAGATTCAAACGATAAATACATATTATATTTTAAATTTTGCATAAATCAGACGCAGACACGTAGTATTTACGCTATTTCATGCATTTTGATGTCTTATTATGAGGCATTAAAAATATCTATAATTGTTATTGTTTCGAGGTACGTTTTGTTAGAAATCAAACACACACCACATAAATATTGTTGCCATTTTTATGTATATTTTAATAGATTAAAAATATCAAAACTCGTTGAAACCAATGCAGATTTAATAGAAATTGAGAATATCTTATTAAACGGAACTTCATATAAAATGGCAACCAATTTTTAAGCGACTGATTTTTAGTTATTTATCACTTTTATATTTTAGTGAATTGTATTTTAATATTATTTAATATCTGCAATGTATGATTTTTATTCAGTGTTTTGGTATATATTTTAACAATGAAATTGCCACGATTGTTGAAATAATAATATTATACATAAATTATTGTTGACTATTTCTATTAAATAATAGAATTATTACTTATTGTCTGTACAGTGAATATAAATATTATTTTATTTATACTCAATTTTATTGGATCGTTAAAAATTATTGTGGGTAATTAAAATCTCTTTATGGCAATAATATTAATGATTGTTATTTTTATAGGTATTTGATTATATTGTGAAAAATACAGAGTCGTTAGAAAAAAAAGTTAGAAAAGTTGATGTCCCTATACATATAGTTACATTTAAAACGATTAAAAACTAATTAGGTATACTTGGATGTATATAAGTTTATAAGAGGAACTACAGTACTAGCTATAACATTATTCAAAAATTAATCGGTTTGGAAAACGCTGTGGTAAAATTAAAAAGAAAATATAGGTAGTTTAGATAGCATGATACCGCACAAGAATAAAAAAAAAAAGATAATTGGCTTTTTAGCAATGTTTCATACCAAACTGACAAAACCTGATCGATAGACGATAGAAAGACAGTTACATAGGTATGCATAATATTACTCGTGAGGTTGACATAGGCAGCAAAATTTGACTTGACATATTCAAAAGGATGTCAAGATATCTTGTATTATAATATTAATAATTCACGAACCTTGGTAGAACCACGACGTTTGTCTGGTTTATAAGTTTACTGAAACCACAAAGCCACCGACCTTTTAGCTGCTACTATTATAGTTAATACTACTGATCTACATAAACGGCAAAGTGCCGCAAACCTAGTTTGAAAGAAAATATTTCAACGTCAATAATTTTTCTCGACATAAATAATTATCATTTATAAAATCGGTTACATTATATATTATCTTCGGTGTTTTATTTTTTTTTTCCAATCTCTGAAATGATGGCTAAATTAAATTCTCTGCAGACTCTATGTTGCCGAGGTAAGATATGATTTTGCCCATGGTTCTTGAAGCATTTATGTTATGGACAGTTCGTAAGATCTAAAGTATGAAAAACGTTTGGATGGGTCCGGTCAAACCGGATACAAATTTGGTATATTTTAAATATCGCAGGCAATTGCTTTTGTTTCAGTTAATCTTCAAATAACTTAGTATATCATAAAGTATTATATGACTTGATTAAACTAGTAGGTACTCAAATCATTCGGATTTCTGGAGAAATGTTCGATTGTTTTGGAAGATATCACAGTAAACGCATTACTCCTAATCAACCAACCCCCTCTCGGTTCCCTCAATCTGTGAGTTCACTCCAAGGGGTTAAGACATATATAATTTGACTGGATATAAAGATATAATATGTGGGGTCGACCCGTCACTTACCTATAGTGGTGATGACGGACAGCGAGTAAAGGAACGATCCGGAAAACGACCATCGAGTCATCTGCTTGTTGGGACCTTCGTAGCTGAAGTTGCGGACGGCCTCGATGACGTGACTCTGGAACGACCGGAGATGCACCTGCACCTCTTGCTTCCACTCGTCTTCGCAATACGCGTTGCAGCACACCATGTCCCAGATTCTGTCGGCGGTGCCGCTGCGGTTCGCGCCCACCCGGTCGATGACTGCTATCGCGTTGCCGGGTGCACCCTCGATGAAGATGAACATGAAGGCGCCGGCGATCGTGTAGCCGACCACCAGGCAAATGATGCCGATATTACTGAACAGGAACGCTATGAACTGTCGCAAGTAATCCTTGCACTGTTGCGTCCATGTCTTTTTCCGCTTGTTGTAATACCGCCGGCCACTCCGTTTCCGTTCCATGACGGCGTCGCTGCACAACCACGGTAGCGGTCACCACCGGCGGCGGTCCGATCCGACGACGGCGACCGCTGCAGTGGCGGCTACGCACAGTTCATCGTCAACGCGTATACCACACGTGACCGGGCGCACACCGTGCAATAAAATACGCGATATACGCACTGCACTCGCCACGCACCACGCACTGATTTCTGCGAACCACGCACCATGCACCACGCACCACGCACCATGCACCCACGAACCAACGCACGCGCCACGCACCACACGTTAGTCCGTTACGCGACACGATTTATTACTCTGGCGCGCGCGCTGCACGACTCTCGGCTACCGGCGTACAATTACGTGTGCGTTTTTATCGCCGACCAGCGCGCGCGTCCGCGTCTACGGTCGACGCTACTCGGACCCCCCCGACCGAGGTGTCAGCCGCCCCGGCCTGTGCGCCTCCGACGCGAGTGTGGGCCTATTTTTAGACGCGTCTCTAAGCTCACTGGACCACCGAACGCCGCCGGGGACCAGTCTCGAATTAGACTCCGACGACTGCATAATAATAATAATAATAATAATAATGTACGTGGCGTACGACACTCACCGTACAATACACTCGCACGTGTACAAAGCGACAGGCCGTGCGTGTTTTCGTCGTCGTATTTTTACGCGCGGCTCGTCGTCGGCCACCGAAACAATATTATTATGTTATGTCGTAAATAATTCTACGTGCTCGGATATTTAAAACGATGTACAAAATGATATTATACCACCACTGCAGATAATATAATAGATTATATAGAATGACTGCACGGCCGAACAGTAACGTAAAATGAAATTCGTAAATACTGCAATCGTACGCAATTATGTATCGATAAAACATCAAATCAATATAAATTCGTGTCAGCGATATTTTCACAAATATTAGAGTTGAGAATTACACCAGTCATAGGCGCGCGCACAGGGGTGCTGGGCGTGCTTGAGTACCCTGTATATAGACATTTTATAATTAGAGCTCTATGATTATTTCCATTGTCCTACAGCACTGATCTTCAGCATTGAAATTACTATAGTAAAATATTATATTTTTTCCTAAATTATGTGGTGAAATATAAATCAAGTTTCGTGATAAAAAAAAAAAAAAAATGTAAAATATTTTAGATGTGCGTGAATTTACTTATTACGGTCATAACAGCTGAATGTCGTTTACTAAAAAAGTACAAATAATAAACAAACATTGCAATTATCTTATAAATATATAAATTAATAGTTCAAATATTTAGTATTAGTAATTATTATACACACTGATACTACACCGATTGATATGTACACGTCTTATTAAGATATAGTACCCTAACTAAGAAAAGGCACAAAAATAATATTTGTGCGCATCTCTCCCGCTCCCCAAAATTTATGTGTGTGCAACCCTATAACACCAGTCATATTATGGTTGTTGTAGGTAATAATATATCATAATATATCGGTATTTCCAATAACAACATTAAATTGCTGTTCTTACTGAAACGTACCAGAAACAATAGATTTCAGTTTCAGGTTTCGAAAGCTACCATTTAAGCATTCTATAAAATATTTATGTACTTATATACGATATATTTGATAAAAACGCCCATGTTCAAAATCTCCCCAGCCCCTTCCAACACCCGTCAAAGCTTTACGCTCACTTCTGTCCCTTCACACCCTTCTTTAACAACCCAAATGACGACTTGCACGAAGCATCTGCACAATAAATCGGACATACTTCAGACAAATACCGTGCGTCGTTATTATCACATGATTTTTGGAATTTCTCACTTCAATCGTCGCCCAAAAAAAGAATCTCGAACGCTTATTTTTTTTGCAGGCTCCTAATCAAGGTAAGGTCTACATACTATATTATTATCGTTTTCCGATAATGCCTCTTTATTTAATTTTTTAACGCATTTAAGTTTTACGAGTTTCTTTTCCAAAGCGTAAAACTCATAGAAACTTATTTCTAATGCTTCGAAAATAAGTCTGAAGTTGAAGACTATTAGTACGCGTCGAAAATTTTACGAGCACAAATAATTCAAATCTAAATCACTTGCCATTAAAAGTTCAGTAAAGGTATTTTTCCTTAACACACACAAATTGAAATTTAAAAATTCTCTCAATGCTTTATGTGCAATTAACTAAAGAATCCCTTTAATATATTTGCAGAACTAAATTCTGGAAATTAATTATTCGTGAAACTATCGACCTTTTCGTTAATTCTATATCATAAACCATTTTGTTTAATCGAATAATACCTATTATTAGTTAAAAATGAGAATAAATCTGAACAGTATAACAGTATGTTTTCGTCGTACCTTCCGCTCAGTTTATTCTACACTATATTATTAAACATCGGATTACAATTTTGGCTTTTCCGATTTTCCGAACGATCGTTTTTTTTATTGCTATGAACAATATTTTTAATTTGCCATTAACTACTTTTAAGTGTAGCATTTAAGCGTACATTCAAAAGTCAACTGCTGAGATTTTGTGACCAACATTATTATGTGGAGCTGCAATACTAAGCGCACACGTTCCATTCTCGACATTCATCTGCTACGCCGTCTAACCTCTTTTTGAATACTTGCACATTCGATGTATTTTAGATGTACTTAGAAACTCACATAGAAGTTCAGTCGGCTTTTTATCAAGTTATTCTAATACCTAATCAATTAGTTTTTGATAATATTGTGACTATGGTCATTGTAGTATCGGAAATTATTATTTGTCGAATGATAATAATATGTATCATTAAGGTTTTAATAAATATTAATACGTACCTATCAAAAATGAACTCAATCGTTGTATCGGAAGTCAATAATATTTTCAACTCACTAAAATATTGTTTTGCTATTAATTCTGTTATAGGTACTCGGCCAGCACGATGTACGAAATCCCGATTCCATATTTCTTCAAACTCTTTATCCTAAAGCTCAAGCATATATGGTAAGATTCGTGGCACAAATATTGGTGTTAAATTTTGGGATTTAAGAAGATATAGCTTGATATTAAGAAACCACTGAATTCCCTCAAGTTATTATACTGTACTCAACTGATTCCTATTCGTGAATATGGTTTTATCATTAGGGAAACTCAATCAAATCATGACATTCATACTCGACCACTCGAACGTGTTCTAACAAAAGTTCAATATTTTGGTTAAAGTTACATTTAAAAATATAACGACAGTTTTGTGACGGTTTTATATGATGAAATATGACCTTACGTATATTATAATTCAAATATAATAAAATATAATATGACCAACGTTACTGCTAGACGTTAACATTATTTAACTCACCAGTATTTCTCTTTTTGTAAGTAGAAAACTTAAACTTTGTCATCACGTTATTATTATAGACACTAGAAAGTGTAGAAAGTATAGAACCGAATTTTTGTATCTTGAATCCCAATATTTAGGTTTCTTAAATGATAATTAGCCATGAAATAAAAATTTGAATCGTCTCAGGCATTCTTACTAATTAATTTGTTATTTATTCAACAACGTAAATACATTAAACTTTTAAGAAATATAATTATACTATATTTTATATTTTTATTAATTGCCATAAATAGTTTTAAATTCCTATAGTACCGATACATTCTAAACTATATTGGTTTGTATACCATGTAAATGATTATAAAAAATCATAACATGTACAAAAAAAACTGATAGGTGCCTTTGCATGATGAATACGCTCTAAATTATATTCAGATATACGTTGATAAAATAGCGATTTGCATTAACTATATTTATTTATAATAGTTTTGATCGTCAGCAATAAACAAGATTATAAATGAATAAGAGATGTAGTAATTTATCGAGTTGTAGATATACTCGTAAGGTGTGAATGAACGTGTGACTATAAAAAGAACGTTTTGTTTAGTTTATGATCAATAGGTTATTTATTATACTTTAATCATATCGTATCGTACTTAAAAATGTCAAAAATTATTAATTACAACCATATTATTTTACGGCATTCTACAAGCTTGGAGCAATCGCATCCAAACAGTATCAACTATAATTTAAAAATATTATTAATTAAAAATCATCTGAGTAGAAAATTCGAGTGGTATTAACGTTACATCCCGAAATATAGAAAAGTTTTTGTTAAAGGAGAGAAAATGTAACACTAAGATGAAATTCTACAAATGTTTTGGTACATTTAAGCATCGTTTTCGAAGACATTGCGGTATTCGGTTGCCAATATCGTCTCGTATTGACTATATTGTTTGATATTGCATTTTTATTTTTATTTTTTTGTAGTAAAGGAGAAAAAATATCAAATTTGTTTGTATTATTTTGTAGAAAAAAAACTAAAGTCCAGTTTTATAACTTGAATGGCGGTGAACTGAAGAGGAGAGAAAAAGAGACGGATTGGTGTTTCGCCACATTTATGACAGTGTTCCGTGCCAAAACTACACGACAATGGCAATTCAAGAGATTCAGTAGTTTTGTTATATTTTGTTGCGATGACTTAGATTAATATAATTTATTTGAATATAAAATGTGTGTGTTTTTATTTAAAGAATTTGACTATTGTGGGATCCATATACTAATCTCTACAGATTACTAAATGGCTTAGAATGGTTTAGATAATTTAACAATTTGTTACTACAATCATACTAATTGTATTTGTGTTATTTTTTTTTGTTCTTTATGATTAAAAAAATGTAATTTATATTATTAATGCTTTGATGTAATGATAAATTGGTATGCATATAAAGGGACAGTCCGCTCTTTCTATACCTGATAAACATCAAATATAAAGAGAAAATCAATTATTCAGTGTTAGATATAGAGCAATAGATAGTAAGGGAAACTGTGGAAAAAAATATTGATACATCAATATTTTTCCAAACACTTTTCTATATCACTGTATGAATATTTCATAAAAGCTATTGACAAATTGTTCTATTTGTCTGTAGACATATTTAAAGATTTACAACTTAATTTATTTGCCGATGATTTCCAGCACTAGAAGTTAAATCAATTTACTAACGTTGAATATTGTGCAAGAAAAATTATAGACACCTATTTGATATCTCTTTTATAGTGAATTGTATACTATTTAATATTTTACACCAATATGAACTAATAGTTTCTAGAAAAAAAATTTTTAAATAAAAATAATAGTATCGACAATAATTTAAATATTTTATCTGCTGCAAATATTAATTTGAACCAACAATTAGAAAAATGTACAAATACTGAACCATGGATAATGTATTAATGAAATTTGATTAATAACTATAGGTTATTCGTTGTCAGGAGGACTAAAGCATATATCATGTATTTCATATTTATATAAAATATTGTAAAAATAAGAA